TGTGAGGTCACAAGCTCTGAGGATGCCTGCCATAGATGTGGATGAATGTCAGGAGAGAATGCTTCTGGAACATGGCCATACAGCCTGGAAAACTCACAACAACCCAGTGCTGAGAATAATTCACCTCACATGACCCCTCTTCAACTGGAAGCCATTCCAGGTCTCTGCATTCCATCCTAAGAGCCACCTTTTACACATCAAGGCAATCTAATGTTGTGACTCACCAATTTTTTCAAGAGGGACTCATGATTTTTGATTTTCCCCCTCGTGGTGCAGTAGGTTAAACCGCTGAGCTACTGAGCTTGCTGACCAAAAGGTTGACAGTTTAAATCCGTGGGACAGAGTGAGCTCCTGATGATAACCCCAGCTTCTGCCAACCTAGCTGTTCGAAAACATGCAAATGAGAGTAGATTAATAGGTACTACTTCAGCGGGAAGGTAATGGCGCTCTTTGCAGTCATGCCAGCCACATGACCATCAAGGCGTCTACAGACAATGCCGGCTCTCCAGCTTAGAAATGGAGATGAGCACCACTCCCCAGAGTTGGACACTTACTTAAGGTCAGGTAAAACCTTTACCTTTACTTTACCTACACAACCAAAAAAGCTATGACCTATGAAGGACAGTCTGGCTTTCTTTGGAAACTCCTTGCTATCCGCATTATCCAAGGAATGTTTGCAATACGGTCCGGTGCCCCTTCCTTTCCTGAACACTCGTTGAAGGACTGGGGTTTGTGGAAGTTCAAGCATCCCATTGCCTCCCTCCGTGGGAGATTAATTAATGCTAGGGCCCCACCATCACTGCAATCCCTGCTGCCCCCTTCTTTGAGGACTAGAGTTTGGTTTTTTTTTTCACATCAGGAGCAACTTGAGAAACTGAAAGTCACTTCTGGTGTGAGAGAATTAGCCATCTGCAAGGATGTTGCCCAGGGGACACCCAGATGTGTTACTATCCTGTGGGGGGCTTCTCTCATGTCCCTGAATGGGAAGCTGGAGCTGACAGATGGGAGCTCACCCAGCTCCCCAGATTTGAACTGCCGATCTTTTGGTCAGCAGTCCTGTGCCACAAGGGTTTAACCCATTGCACCATTGAGGGTTCTGGGAACTGTAATGAACTCTGGACATTTCCAATCTGTGAGCCATTGTTCTGTTGACAGATTTTAGTGAGAACTGCAGGACTGGTATGCTGTCCATCCCTGGTGATTTGCTGTATTTCTCCCGCATTCTCGGAGTGAAGCTTCCACTTCACTTTTTGAAGTGAAAGTGTTCTCTTCATATGGCTCTTTCCAAAATAATCTGCCATTCGTTCATCTCTTTAATATTGCTCTCTCGTGTATCGTTTCTGTTGTCTTTCTCGTTGTACGTTGTCACATAACCCCTTTCCCTGCTGATTGCAGAGCATCTCCGCTCTTGATTTACGTTTGCCTTTGGTTTATTGGATCTTGCAGAAGAGGTCTCTTTTTATTTAGTTATTTATTGTTGTTGTTCCCTTCTATTTCTCTTGTGTGTGTGTCAGGAGCAACTTGAGAAATTGCAGGTCACTTCTTATGTGAGAGAATTGGCTATCTGCAAGGTCGTTGCCCAGGTGATGCCTGGATGTTTGATGTTCTATCATCCTTGTGGGAGGCTTCTCTCATGTCCCCGCATGGGGAGCTGGAGTTGACAGATGGGAACTCACCTGCTCCCCGGATTCGAACCGCCGACCTTTCGGTCAGCAGTCCTGCCGACACAAGGGTTTAAATCATTGCATTATGAGGCTCCTTTCTCTGTGCTAATTCGAATAGTATTAATCCTTATCCCAGCACAGAAGTCACTGAATAGTTGCATCCAGGTTCTGATTCTACTTGTCTTTTACTTTTGCTTCTAGTGTTTCCTCAACAGCTTGAGGAATTTCCTCTATTTATTTATCGTGTCAGGAGCAGACCGAACAGTTGCATTGCATTTTTTAACAAACAAACAAACAAACAAACAGACAAAATACAAAGTTTACAAGCTTGGTAGTTGATTAGATGTCCTTTGACCAGTAGCTGGCCACTTGGAGTGCCTCTGGTGTTGCCTCAAGAAGGTCCGCCATTGTGCATGTGGCGGGGCTCCGGTTGCATTGCAGCAGGTAGTCTGTGGTTTGCTCTTCTCCACACTCGCATGTCGTGGATTCCACTTTGTAGCCCCATTTCTTAAGGTTGGCTCTGCATCTCGTGGTGCCAGAGCGCAGACTGTTCAGCGCCTTCCAAGTCGCCCTATTTCCTGTGTGGCCGGGAGGGAGTCTCTCATTTGGTATCAGCCATTGATTGAGGTTCTGGGTTTGAGCCTGCCACTTTTGGACTCTCGCTTGCTGTGGTATTCCAGCAAGTGTCTCTGTAGATCTTAGAAAACTATTTCTTGATTTAAGTTGTTGACGTGCTGACTGATATACAAACAAGGGATGAGCTGGAGATGTCACTGCCTTGGTCTTTTCACTATTGGCTGCTACTTTCCGGCAGATGTCAGGTGGTGCAATACCAGCTAAACAGTGTCATTTCTCCAGTGGTGTAGGGTGCAGACACCCCGTGATAGTGCAGTATGTCTTATTAAGAGTTACATCCACTGACATCCATCAAATTTCTTTGACATCCATCGAGATTCCACTTTCCTTTTGGCTCCAGGTATTGACTTTTTGCATCCTTTGCATCCCCTTTTCTGACCAACATGAATCCTATCAAACCACCAGCTGTACTGATTCTGGAAGCCCATAGTGCCTGTGTGTTTTCATATTTGGAGCAGGGTTGCCCTCTCCTGGAGGAAGGGGGAACAGCAAGAGAGCAACCAGCAGCCCCTGGAAGCAAGTGACTGGGTTGCACTGTAAGTGAACAATAATGTCTTTTGCCCTGTAACTTCTAAGCTACCTTTCGAGTTGTGGAAGAAATGAAGGAAAAGGCCAGGGGCATTGTGTCTGTCACAGAAGGTTTCCTCACATACTATTCCGAGGTGTTTCCCTGCCACAATATTGGGTGAAGATCAAGCCAGTCCTGTTTTTGTTGTGGTTGCTGAAACCTTACACCACAGGCCAATACATGTATCCCTATCCTGCTTTCTCTCCTTGCCTCTTAAAGCATTCCTCTCTGGTAAATCTCTGATGTGAATGAGAAAACTGGACACTGACTGAACACATTTGTGCGCCAGACGACTTTGTGTGGGCTTCATCCCACAAGGGTCTATGGAAGCCGGGGCTACAGCGAGGGCTCCCCTTTTTCACTTTTTTTTCATGTCAGGAGTGACTTGAGAAACTGCAAGTCACTTCTGGTGTGAGAGAATTTGCTGTCTGCAAGGATGTTGCCCAGGGGACGCTTCTCTCATGTCCCTGCAAGGGGAGCTGGAGCTGACAGAGGGAGCTCATCCACACTCTCCCTGGATTCGAACCTCCGACCTGTCTGTCTTCAGTCCTGCCGACACAAGGGTTTAACCCAGAGGTCCACAAACTTTTTAAACAGAGGGCCAGGTCATCATCCCTCAAACTGTTGGAGGGCCGGATTATAATGTGAAAAAACCACGAATGAATTCCTAGGCACACTGCACATATCTTATTTGTAGTGCGAAAACACTTAAAAACAATACAATATTAAAATGAAGAACAGTTTTAAGAAATATAAACTTAGTATTTCAATGGGAAGTGTGGGCCTGCTTTTGGCTGATGACATAGGATTATTGTTGTTGTGCTTTCAAGTCATTTCAGACTTAGGTTGGCCCTGAGTGAGGGCCAGGTAAATAACCTTGGAGGGCCTTCGGGCCTTAGTTTGAGGACCCCTGGCTTAACCCATTACACCACCAGGGGCTCCTCACTGTCTCATGTTTCTATTATAACATAACATGTAATATTACTAAGAATAGTACAATATAATAGTATAGTACAATATAGTAATATATAATACTAATATTGTGCTATGCTAATAATATAATACATTGTATGTATATATATCTTGTAAGCTGCTCTGAGTCCCCTTTGGGGTGAGAAGGGCGGCACCAAAATGCCGTAAATAAACAAACGAATAAATAATTGGTTTCCTCACAACACCTGGCACCTGAGAGCAACCAAGAGATGTACATCCAATGTCCCTTCTCACCAACACCAACCCTGRAGATGGATGGAGGCCTCTGAGGAGACCAGACAGTCCTCCTTACAACCCTTCATCATCCCCAGGGAGTGGGGCAGGGCGGCCTTGCTGCTGGAGCCATTCCCCCCCCCCCCCACACACACACACTTCTGCACAGATGATGCCACTGCTTGAAAATCAATCCCACATTTGTCTACATGAGACAAAAAGTCCGGTCTTAAGCAGCCCTATTACCTGCCCCTTCCATGGAGCCCCTGGTGGTGCAATGGGTTAAATCCTTATGTCAGCAGGACTGCTGACCAAAAGGTCAGAAATTCAGAATCGGGGAGTGGGGTGAGCTCCCATCTGTCAGCTCCAGCTTCTCTTGTGGGGACATGAGAGAAACCTCCCACAGGATGGTAAAACATCCGGTTGTGCCTGGGCAACATCCTTGCAGACATCAATACTCTCACACCAGAAGCGACTTGAAGTTTCTCAAGTTCCTCCTTAAAGGGGGGGGGGGACAAACAAGGGCCCTGGCTTCCCAAGCAGGTTCCTTATGAGCCTCTTCTCAGGGAGAACTGAGCTGCTAACCCTGGAGAGGGGAGAGGTCACAAGGGCTCTGCCCCACAACAAGGCGGACGGAAGCGCCAGGACAAGAGCTAGGCCTGCTCTGAGGCAAAAAGCAGGAGGTCTGTTCCTTGCATGGGGATTCCGGCTGCACCATCGCCCCTCAAAGGTGAAGGCAGAGGAAAGAACTTATCGCTCCCTCCCCTGGACTCAGAGGCAGACTTAAGGAGCCTCTGCCAGAGAAGTCTGATCTGCATCCATCCATCCATCCAGGGTCCCACTATCAATCATTCTAAGTCCCTTCCTCCCTTCAAATGGACCCCCCCCCCCTTTCCAAGTCACACAATGCATAGAAGAAGGCCTGATGGAGATAAAGGCATTTTATTAATGGAGCAGAGTGAGAGGTCCCCTCCAAAGAAGACGACAACAAGGAAGCAAGGAGAGCTGGGTCTGTCAGAGCATAGGTTTCCGTAGACCTTTGGGAAAGAAATGTGACTGGAGGCTCTGGCCAAGGGGTCATCTCTGCTCAGAAGGGCCCTCGGACATTGGTGCATGCTGGAGGTGAGCAGAGGCTGCAAATGGTAGGAGGGCAGTAGGCAATAATGAATGCGAGGCGCTTCCCTGCCTGCAAAACGGAATGGAGCCCAGGGCTGCCCATCAGCCGCCATTGTGGTGCACAGAAGCGAGACCTTTCTGCAAGGACGGGCCTGAGGATCCAACGCGCACCAAGCCCACAGAGACATCAGCAAAACTGGAGTTGTTTACTACAAAAAGCAGCCTCAAAACCAGACAGGAACCGTAACAGAAGCTCGTTAACCGGTTCATCACCAGGCCCAGGCCTCCAAACCAGCTCCAAGCAACACAGCTAGGTTGCCAATTCTTCTCTGGAAATGGAAATCAGCTCCTTCACCGAGGCACAAAAAACGGAATTATTTTTCAGGTATTGTCACCACGAAACCAAGGACGACATGGAATGCTTGCAATTGTGCTCAACTAAGCCACAAGATGCAACGCTCTGGGTTTCGGCAACTTCCTGGCAACCGGGAACTGAATTGGTTTAGCAACGTAACACTGAGCCGGTTCCAGTTCAGCCGCAGCAATCCAGGCCCGGTGTTCTCTGAGGGGGAAGTCCAAGCAACCGCTGAAGAAGAAGGCTGGGTCAGGGCCAAGGCCGTCAGCAAAGCAGAAGCGGCCACCTCGCTCCACCCGCTGCCCAAGGCCATTCCTCTCCAGGGGCAGCAGCCCAGGGCAAGGCCTCCTTCTGTGGCCATTGAGGGCAGGCCCCTCCTGTCTCCAATCTCTGGGTGGCCACCATCTTGACTGCCGCCCTGCCTCAGACAGCGCTCCTAGGGGTGCCATTGTGAGTCACTGCCTTCAGGCCAGGGATATTGGCCTGGTGGCTGCAGGCCCGGTGGGAGGAGAGGCCCACCTCAAAGACCTCGTGGATGGCTTTCCGGAAGCAGTGGAAGTTGTAGTCTATCAAGCCTACGATGGAAAAACAAAAGGTGAGAGATGGCGAGGAAGAGGGGGTCTGTGGATAAACCAACCCAAGAAAACACCCAACAACTGCTCTGCAGAGCTCTGTCGTGCATCCATTCGCACCCAGAGCTCATTCACAACACCCAGGGTAAGAAAATACAGTCCGCAGGCACCTAAGGCCTCAGACCCTGGGAAAGAAGCCCATTTGGGGACGCGGGGGAGCCTCGACCTGCCTCACCTTTGCGCTCAAAGCTCTCTTCTCTCAGGATGCAGACCAAGGCTAGGAACTTGGTCACCTCTTTGAGGTACAGGACGGTCGTATTGTTGAGCCGGATGATGGCCATGGATTCCTTGTCGTAAGCGCTTCCACTTCCATCCTCCTTCAGCCTGCAGCCAAGGGCAAGAAAGGAGGCCAATGCTCAGCCACAGAGACAGAGAAATGGGGAAAAGGGACTGCTCAGGGCTCCCTTTTGTTGGGTTTCATCCCTGGACTGCACGGGTCTCTTGTCTCGTCAAGCCTCCATTCCTCAATGCGTAGCTAGACTAGAAATAGGATTAGGCTGAGGGATTCCTTCCCCACATTCCTATGCATGTTTACCAAAAAGGGCTTTGTCTTTCCTCCTCCTGCCAGCTACTGCCTCCTCCACCACCCCAAAGATGTAGCAATGGAATCTCTGTGAGGGAACTTCCTTTTTAAAGGTATTTTTATTGCCCTGGGCTGGCCATGTGGCCATCTTCCATTCTCTCTTCTGCCTTTCCTTCCTTCCAAAGAGGACGCATTTTGCCTCACTCTTTAGGCAAAATGTAGCTGCATGGATTTTTTTTTACTTTTTACATTGAAGTAAAAGAAATATATTCTAGATAGAAAAGGTCTTCGAGCTGACTAACTTACTAAATCTCATCTAAATGGGTTAAAGAGATTTAGTAAGGTAGTCAGCTCGAAGACCTTTTCTATCTAGAATATATTTCTTTTACTTCAATAAATATTTTTGAACCTAAGTTCTGGTTCTGGAATCCTGTGCCATCCTAAGGAATAGAAGCTTATCTTAGCTCATGACATGTACGTTTCTGCTGGTTATGAAGTTTACTTCTGATACTCTGCTATATTTATGGCGGAATCACCCCAACTAAGGGTTGTTTTGAACCTAACAGCAAATATTTCCCAACACCTTCTCCTAACCCTCAAAGGCTGGAGAGCGCCTTAGGGCACCCTTCCCTTATCAGGGCCCTTCCTTCCTCAAGGAGAGCCTGCGTTTGCATCCGAAGGCAAGGACTGTCCCCCCATTATTGTGGGAATTGAAGTCCAAAACGCCTGGAGGAGGGCCAAAGTTTGTTCATGCTTGCACTAGCCCATTAGTACAGGCAAAAATAGGGGTCAAAACAGCCATACAGGAATTGGGACACCCCCAGTAGGATGCGGGACCTTCAAAATCACTCCAAAGGGTCCCCTCTGAAGGCCTCCTGAGTGACCTCTGCCATGGTCACAACAGATCCAATTGCAAGGCACTGACCCATAGATGCAGGAGACATCGATGACCACGTCAATCATGTCGCAGCAGAGTTCATAGGACTGCATATCAACTGGGGAGCTGTCCGTGGCAATGTAGATCTTGCTCACGACGTCAAAGAGGAAAGCTTTTTCAATCCCTGAATTCTGCAAAGGAGAAGAGGAAACCACAGATCCAGATTTGCAAGTGTGAGCTGGGAATGTGAGGAAGTGGGGGGGGGGGGGGGGGGGGGGGGGGGGGGGGAGGGAGCTTTGCTCCTTGAAGAACTCTCCGGAAAGAACTGCCTGTTTGGGGAAAGATTCCTCAAAATGGTGCCACTCATGCACTCCTCATTTGCAATGGGCACTATGGCCTTTCAAGACCGAAAGCAACCCGAATACATTCCATTCAACCCATGTAGCAGTTTTTAACACTAAGCTCCCAAATGCCCACAAATAATAATAATAATAATAATAATAATAATAATAATAACTTTATTTATATTTTGCCCTATTTCATCGAAGGGACTCAGGGTGGATTCCGATCACAAAAAAGAAAAATGTTCAATGCCTGAACATAACAACTAATAGACACATAATAACAAAAATTAAACTCCACAGAACATAAAAACAAATCATAACTTAGCAAATTAGAGTAAAATTTAATAAAATAAAATAAAATTATATCAGACATAAAAACAAACATAAAAGAAGCATAAAACATAAATACAGAAGCATCAATTTCCCAAAGTCAACAGAGTTCCTTACAGCTATACAGTAACAATATAAAACCCAACCATATGATTAAGGAAATGCTACTTACTGATATGAAAATATTCAGCAGGTTTTCTAACGTTGGCAACTGCGGAATCAGCTTCTGTACCACTTTACTGAAGGCTTCGAATATCGAATGATCGTAGATGCTGGTCAGGTAAAAGCTACAAGACAGAGAACAAGAGTCAGCCGCTTTGGAGGACCCCTCCTTCACTTGCTGAGCGGAAAGCAGCGGCACCGGAAGCATCCTGTCAAACCCGGCAGCCTTGGGGTCCGTTTCAAAGTCCCATGCCTCTTACAGTCCTCTCTTGTCCTTTGACCCCTCATTGGACCTCCAGAGCGGGCCCCCATTGTGTAAAACAAAGGAAGGGGGCTGCCTGTAAGGAAAGAGGAGGAATGTCCCCCTCCCCACTATTGGAGGAAGCAGCCTCTCAAGCCTCCTCTATGTGAAGTTTGTCTATTTTATTAGTATGTCATTTTGTAACCTGAAGTGTATGTCTTGTTTGTAGTTTGAAGTTGCCTTGTCTCTTTGTACTAAAGCAGTGGGAGGGGCTGTGATCATGTGACTGACAGTTTGGAATGTTGTTTTTTTTAAATGGAATGACAGTTAGTGAAGTCAGTTGAGCTTAGAGCCTTGTTAGAGAATGTCAGGCTGGAGCGAGGGGTCTTTTAGTGTGAAAAAGCTAATGTTAGAAGCTAGTAAATTGTTGAGGTTTATGTTTCCTTTTAAAGTGAACTCTTATTGAGGAGAGCTGCGTGGAGCAACATAGTTCGTGAAGAAACAGTTAAAGTTTATGAGTGTCAAGATTGAAGCTCTCCAAATGTTTTTGATGTATTTTAACCCTCAAAAGAAATGTGCCTGTATCATTAAAGTGTATATGTTATAAGTCAGTGGTTCTCAACCTTTCTAATGCCGCGACCCCTTAATACAGTTCCTCATGTTGTGGTGACCCCCAACCATAACCCTAACATTATGAATCGCCATGTAAATAATGATCTGCAGGATGTATTTTCATTCACTGGAGCAAATTTGGCACAAATACCCGGTATGCACAAATTTAAATACTGGTGTCATTTGGGAGTTGTAGTTGCTGGGATTTATAGTTAACCTGTAAACAAAGAGCATTCTGAACCCACCAATGATGGAATTGAACCAAACTTGGCACACAGAACTCTCATGACCAACAGAAAATACTGGAAGGGTTTGGTGGGCATTGACCTTGAGTTTGGGAGTTGTAGTTCACCTACATCCAGAGAGCACTGTGGGCTCAAACAATGATGGATCTGGACCAAACTTGGCACTGATACTCAATATGCCCAAACACTGATGGGGTTTGGGGAAAATAGACTTTGACATTTGGGAGTTGTACTGGCTGGGATTTATAGTTCACCTACAACCAAGGAGCGTTCTGAACCCCACCAATGATAGAATTGGGCCAAACTTCCCACACAGAGACCCCCATGACCAACAGAAAATACTGTGTTTTCTGATGGTCTTTGGCAACCCCTCTGACACCCCTTTGCGACCCCCAGGTTGAGAAACACTGTTATAAGTAAACAAACATTGTTAAAAGAAGTCTTTGCCTGCCTAAAGCATCAAATAAACTCAAGGAATACTCCTCTCAAACTCTGCTACCCCTGATGGGTTGCAATCCTAACAGGTCGTGGTCCATCCATTATCCCCAATACCCACATTCTGGGTTAAACTGGTAGAAAAACTTCCACTTAGTCCCATTCTCCATTTTTTTCACTTGATGTTGGTTACTACTTTCAATCTCGTCTACAAGATCTGCACAGCAAGAGGCACCGAAGCCCAGAGCGCTTCCCCAGAACCTTCATGAGTGTCATGAAGAAATGATCCGCCGGGAAATAGGAGCCAGCAATGAAAAGACCAAGGCATTGACATCTTGGGCCCATCCCCTGTTTGGATATCAGCCAGCATGCCAACTCCTTAAATCAAGAAACAGCTTCCTAAGATCTACAGATATACTCTCAGGTATATCTCAGCAAGCAAGAGTCCAAAAGTGGCAGGCAAAAACCCGGAACCTCAATCTATGGTTGATACTGGATGAGAAACTCCCCCCTGGACACACAGAAGACTGGGCAACTTGGAAGGTACTGAACAGACTGCCCTTCCGGCACCACGAGATGCAGAGCCAACCTTAAGAAATGGAGCCACAAAGTGGAGCCCATGATATGCGAGTGTGGAGAAGAGCAAACCACAGAACACAGATAACAATGCAACCTGAGCCCTACAACATGCACAATGGAGGACCTTCTCACAGTGACACCAGAGACACCCCAAGTGGCCAGCTTCTGGTCAAAGGACATTTATATATATATTTATATACGACATTTCCATGCTGCCCTTCTCACCCTCAAGGGGACTCAAAGCAGCTTACAAGATATATATACATACAATATATTATATTTTTGGCATAGTACAATATCAGTATTATATATTACTATATTGGACTGTACCATTATATTGTAATATTATTAGTAATATTACATATAAAATATATATATATTTAAAATATTGTATCATTATTAGTAGCAGTAGTTTATTGTATTACATTATAATATTGTGTGTTATATATACTATATATATATATACACACACACACACAGAGGCGGCCCTAGGTAATTTTCAATGGTAAGCAAACAGTATTTTCCCCCCCCCCCCCAAATCACTGATATATATTTTCTGTTTGTCGTGGGAGTTCTGTGTGCCATATTTGGTTCAATTCCATCATTGGTGGAGTTCAGAATGCTCTTTGGTTGTAGGTGAACTATACATCCCAGTAACTACAACTCGCATTTTCCCCCAAGAGCGCCTCAAGAGTGCCCCTGGGCAAAATCAACTATACTGCAAATGCTTACTTTGCGTAAAGGTTGAGCCGCCCCTGCACACACATATGTGTGTGTTTATATGTATGTATGTATGTATGTATATATATATATATATATATATATATATATATATGTGCATTTATTTATTTATGACATTTAACACATTGCTAAGTTCTTTTTAAAAAATCATTTGTGTACTCTCAATTGGCTTCTGACATGATAAATAAATGAGGCACATTCAGGCACATAATTTTTTTTTGTCATGTTAGGAGCGACCTGAGAAACTGCAAGGTTGTCTTCAGGATAAAATGGAAAGTGGCCAAAGAGGTGTAGATTTATTTATTTATTTATTTATTTATTTGATGCATTTATTAACCGCCATTCTCAGCCCTTTAGGGCGACTCATGGCGGTGTACACACATATAAAAGACAATTTACAAAAAGGCAATTTCAACAACATATCAACTACATAAACAATTACAAAGACTACACTAAAAATCCGCTTCGTCTCATAGTGGAATCATAAGCCAATCTCAAATTCCTTATTCCATTCCAATCATCTTTACCACATAGTTATAACACTTAATTAAATGCCTTCTCGAACAGCCATGTCTTAAGGCTTTTTCGGAAGGTCATGAGGGAGGGCGCCTGTCTGATGTCTACAGGGAGAGTGTTCCACAGCCGGGGGGCCACCACCGAGAAGGCCTCTCTCTCGTCCCCGCCATTTGCAAGGACGTTGCCCGGGGAAGATGTGATGTTTTATCATCCTTGTGGGAGGCTTCTCTCATGTCCCCGCATGAGGAGCTGGAGCTGATAGAGGCAGCTCATCCGCCTCTCCCCAGATTCGAACCTGCAACCTGTCAGTCTTCAGTCCTGCCGGCACAGGGCTTTAACCTACTGTGCCACTGGGGGCTCCGGGCACATAATAATAACAGTAACAACAACAACAATAATAGAATGGCAATGGTAATCGTAGCGCAGGCCTGAGCCACCTCTCTCCCGCCAGGTGCTTTAGACTTCAACTTCCAACATTCCTAACAGTACCGGCTCTTTGGAATTACTCAAGACCTCATACCTGAGGTGCAGCTTCTCCAACCCGGCGTCTCCCAGGTCGTCGTTGGCCCGCTGGTGGATGTCCCTCTGCGTCTCGATCTTGTGGTCGTCGGAGAGGCCGTCCACTTTGTGGATGAAGACCTCGAAGTTCATGTCGGGGTTGATCTTGTAGGCCTTGGAGACGGTGATGTGGAGCCGGGTCAGGGCCTCCATGTAGTCGTCCTGCAGAGTGGAGGAGAGATCAGAGCAGGTCTGGGCCAACTTGGGTCCTCTGGGTGTTTTGGACTTAAGCGGCTGAGGGGGAAAAGGAAGGAGCCTGAGGCTGTTAGGAATGCTGGGAGTTGGAGTCCAAAACACCCAGAGGACCCAAGTTGGCCCCGGCCTGTTTCAGAGGGAAGCCCTTCTAGGAGAGGGGTCTCCCACACGCCCCGCCCTCTGAACCTGGGCGTCGATGACGTAGATGAGGGCCCCGGTGCCCCGGAAGATCATCTCGTAGTCGAAGGCCGGGTCGAAGAAGTCCATCTGTCCCGGGAAGTCCCAGATCTGGAAGTTGACGAAGGAGCTGCTGGAGACGTCGTCCTTGTAGATCTTGTTGGTACTCTCGAGGAAGAGCGTCTCGTTGGGCGACATCTTGTGGAAGACCACCTGAGAGGAGGATGAGGGGGCGGGGCGTAGGTTGTCAGGGCAACCGTCTCCTAGGAGACGGTTCCCTGCCCCTCACCTCCTCTCTCTCTCTCTCTCTCCCTCCCTCGCACCTTCTGGATGGAGGATTTCCCGCTCCGCCGGAGACCCATCAAGAGGATCCGGGGCTGCTTCGAGGCGTCCCCCGCGCCGCTTCCGCTTCCGGAGCCCAGGCCCAGCTCGATCCCCGCCCCGCCCGCGACGTCGCCCTCTTCCTCGCCGTCCTCGTCGTCCTCCTCCGGGGCCCCTCCGCCCGTCACCCCGCTTCCGCTTCCTCCTACTCCTCCCGCTTCCCCATCATCCTCATCTTCCTCTTCCTCCTCGTCGGCGCCGTATCCGAAGTCCTTCGGGAAGGATTCCCCCGCCAAAGCCGCCGCTCCGGTTTCTTCCACAGAAGTGGAAGCGCCGCCGCCGCCCGTCCCCGCCAAGGAAGGCCCTCCCGGGCCGAACTGCAGCGCCGCCATCGCCCGGGAGCAGCAGCAGCCGAGGCTCTGCCAGCACTTCCGGGTCGACGCCGACGCCCCCTTCTTCTCCCGGGAAGCAAGGCGGCGGCGGCGGCCCGGAAGTCTGTCCCGCCTACCTTTCTGCGCATGCGCCCCATGGAAGACACTTCAGGAAGCATCTCTGAGCCGTTTCCCCGACAAAGAATCCATTCATAGAATCAAAGAGTTGGAAGAGACCTCATGGGCCATCCAGTCCAACCCCCTGCCTCGAAGCAGGAATATTGCATTCAAAGCACCCCTGACAGATGGCCATCCAGCCTCTGTTTAAAAGCCTCCAAAAAGGGAGCCTCCACCACACTCCACTGCTGAACGGGGTTCTTGTACGTTTTCCGGGCTGTACGGTCATGTTCCAGAAGCATTCTCTCCTGACGTTTCGCCCACATCTAGGGCAGGAATCCTCAAGGGTTGTGAGGTCTGGGTTGTAGGTTTTTTCGGGCTATATGGCCATGTTCTGGAGGCAATTTTTCTCCTGACGTTTCGCCTGCATCTATGGCAAGCATCCTCAGAGGTAGTGAGGTCTGTTGGAAGTAGGAAAAGGGTTTATATATCTGTGGAATGACCAGGGTGAGACAAAGGGCTTTTGTAAGTTGGGCTAGGTGTGGATCTTTCAACTGACCACCTTGATTAGCATACAATGGGCTGACTGTGCCTGGAGCAAACTCTTCTTGAAAGGTGATTAGATGTCCCTGCCTGTTTTTCTCTCTGCTGTTTTTGCTGTTGCAATTTTAGAATTTTTTAAATACTGGTAGCCAGATTTTGTTCATTTTCATGGTTTCTTCCTTTCTGTTGAAATTGTCCACATGCTTGTGGATTTCAATGGCTTCTCTGTGTAGTCTGACATGGTGGTTGTGAGTGGTCCAGCATTTCTGTGTTCTCAAATAAAATGCTGTGTCCAGGTTGGTTCATCAGGTGCTCTGCTATGGCTGATTTCTCTGGTTGGAGTAGTCTGCAGTGCCTTTCATGTTCCTGGATTCTTGTATGCTAATCAAGGTGGTCAGTTGAAAGATTCACACCTAGCCCAATTTACAAAAGCCCTTTGTCTCACCCTGGTCATTCCACAGATATATAAACCCCCTTTTTCCCAGTCCCAGCAGACCTCACCTCTGAGGATGCTTGCCATAGATGCAGGCGAAACGTCAGGAGAAATGCCTCTAGAACATGGCCCTATAGCCCGAAAAAAAACCCAAGAACCTAACTTGAACAATGAAGGTGGTTGCATTCATAGAATCAAAGAGTTGGAAGAGACCTCATGGGCCATCCAGTCCAACCCCCTGCCTAGAAGCAGGAATATTGCATTCAGAGCACCCCTGACAGATACCCATCCAGCCTCTGTTTAAAAGCCTCCAAAGAGGGAGCCTCCACCACACTCCACTGCTGAACGGGGTTCTTGTACGTTTTCCGGGCTGTATGGCCATGTTCCAGAAGCATTCTCTCCTGACGTTTCACCCACATCTAGGGCAGGAATCCTCAAGGGTTGTGAGGTCTGTTGGAAACTAAGAAAGTGGGGTTTATATATCTCTGAAATATCCAGAGGTGGGAGAAAGAACTTTTGTCTGCTCGAGGCAAGTGTGGATGGTACAATTGGCCACCTTGATTGAATATTTATTGACGACATTTATATGCTGCCCTTCTCACCCCAAAGGGGACTCAGAGCGGCTTACAAGTTATATGTAAAAAAGATCTATACAGGCATGTAGCCGGGGGGGGGGGGGTAAATTCTCATGGTGGTTCGTGAAAAGGCCTTTCTGGTGCATTATTTAAACTGTTATGTTTATTCATATCATGATCTGATAACCATACTCAATATATCCATATGCATGGGGGTATTGGGGTAATGATACAAAAGGTTTGCTAGGGTACACCCTCTTTCACTCAGACTGCCCCCTCCCCCGAAACAAACTCAGCCCCCCCTCCCCGAATCGAAATCCTGGCTACGAGCCTGGATCTATATAAATAAAAATGTAATATTAGTTTGTGGGATTAACATAACTCAAAAACCACTGGATGAATTGACACCAAATTTGGACATAAAACACCTATTAGGTCAACGAGTGACCATCGCTCATAAAAACACTGAAAACACAGCAGAAGGGACTTAAAAAGCCAAAAAACCCAAAAAATACATTACAACACATGCACAAAACCACATAAATATACATGAACACACATATATGCACACATATGCACATACACACACAAAACACATACACTGAAAGAGGGAAGGAAGGAAGCAAGGAAGGAAGGAGGGAAGAAGAGAAGGAACGAAGGAAGAAAGGAAGGAAAGAGACAAGGAAGGATGGAACCAAAGAGCAAAGGAAGCAAGAAAAGAAACACGTAGAGAAGGAAGAAGGGAAAGAAAAACAGGGAAGGAAGGAAAGAGGGAGGAAAGGAAGGAGAGAAAGAAAGGAGAGAAAGAGGGAGGGAAGGTTGGCCACAGCAACACGTGGCGGGTACAGCTAGTACATTATACTATTAGCATAGCACAATATTAGTAACATACATTCCCATATTGTACTACACCAGTATACTGTAATTTTATTAGTAATATTACATATAAGAAATACATATTATATTGCATTAGTGGTATTATATTGTATTAAATTATATTATTATCAATATTATATGTGCATACAATATGTTATATTGTTAGCCCAGCACAATATTAGTATTATGTATTAGCATTTAATGGCCTTGCAATTTCAAACCCTGGCTGCTTCCTGCTTGGGGGGGGGGGGGGGGTGTTTTCTGGTCCTATTGTTTCCTGTCTGGCATTCCCCTGCCTTTTGAGTCTTTATTTACTGTTCTGATTTTAGAGTTTTTTTAATACTGATAGCCAGATCAAACACAGAGGAACTCCAGACAAGAAACAATCAGGGACAGCTAATCACCCCTCAACGAAGAATTCCCCCAGGCACTAACAAGCCACACCTAAAAACTGTCAGGCCATCAAATGCTAATCAAGGTGGCAAATTGCATCATTCACACCTGCCTCAACCAGACAAGAGTTCTTTCTTCCACTCTGGACATTCCACAGATATATAAACCTCACTTGCCTAGTTTCCAACAGACTTCACAATCTCCGAGGCAAAACGTCCCAGGAGAGAATGCTTCTGGAACATGGCCATACTGCCCGAAAAAACCTACAACAACCCAGTGATTCCTGCCATGAAAGCTTTCCACAATACATTAATCCATTCCCAGGTCACACTCCCTCCCAGACCACGCCACCCCCCCCCCCCCCCCCCCCCAAAACCCTACAGCAACCCTTAAAGGGGCAGGACCAGTCTCTCCATGCTTCTCAAAGTATTGTGTTTTTTTCTTGAAACTGCTAGGCCAGTCCCCCTTTTGATTGGCAGCTGCAAAGTCTGTTTCCCAATCAAAGTGGCTTCATATTGGAATCACTGGGTTGTTGTAGGCATTTTGAAAGCCTGAAAAACCTACAATCCACTGGGTTGTTGTGTGTTTCCCGGGCTGACTGGCCATGTTCCAGAAGCATTCTCTCCTGATATTTCAACCGCATGTATGGCAAGCATTCTCAGAGGTTGTGAGGTCTGTTAGAAATCAGGCAAGTTAGGTTTATATATCTGTGGAATATCCAGGGTGGGAGAAAGAACTGTCTGCGTGAATGTTGCAATTGGCCAGTTTGATTAGCATTGAATAGCTTTGCAGCAGTTGTCTGGCCAGGGTGGTCCACGCCTTAGTCACTTCCAGATTGGACTACTGTAATGCACTCTACGTGGGGCTGCCCTTGAAAACGGCCCGGAAATTTCAATTGGTCCAACGAGCGGCGGCCAGGTTGTTAACTGGTGCTCCTTACAGGGAGAGGTCAACCCTCCTGTTTAAGGAGCTCCACTGGCTGCCATTCTGCTCCCAATTCAAGGTGCAGGTGCTTACCTACAAAGCCCTAAACGGTTTGGGACCCGCCTACCTGCGTGACCGCATCTCTGTGTATGAACCCACACGATCTCTCAGATCATCTGGAGAGGCCCTGCTCATGATCCCAGCTGCATCGCAAGCGCAATTGGTGGGGACTAGGGATAGGGCTTTGTCGGTGGTGGCCCCTCGACTCTGGAACTCTCTCCCTAAGGACATCAGGCAGGCCCCGTTGCTAGCAATCTTTAGGAGGAGTTTGAAAACGTGGTTGTTCCAGTGTGCCTTCTCAGAAGAAGGAAACTCCTAGCAGTATGCCCCAATGCACTTTATCAGAGATCTAGGATATCTGCATGCCCATCCCCCTCCAAACACTCCACCTGGTCATGCCCAGCACTTTTTTTTTAATTATTACATTTGGCCCTGCCATTGATTTTAATTGCGTCATTGTGTGTTGTTAATGTTATTGCCTTGTTTTTTGAGTTATTTTGCTGTTTGTTGTTGTTGTTCTTACTGTTGTATTTGAGTTCGGCCTCTTGTAAGCCGCACCGAGTCCTTCGGGAGATGGTAGCTGGGTAGAAATAAAGGTTTATTATTATTATTATTGTTGTCAGTTTTCCGGGCTGACTGGCCATGTTCCAGAAGCATTCTCTCCTGACATTTTGCCTGCATCTATGGAAGGCATCCTCAGAGGTTGTGAGATCTGTTGGAAACTTGGCAAGTGAAGTTTATGTATCTCTGGAACGTCCAGAGTGGGAAAAAGAACTCTTGTCTGCTTGAGGCAAGTGTGAATGTTTCAACTGGCCATCTTGATTAGCATTTAATGGCCAGCAGTTTCAAGTCATGACTTCTTACTGCCTGGGGGAATCCTTTGTTGAGAGGTGATTAGCTATCCTTGTTTGTTTGTCTGGAGTTCCCTTGTTTTGAACGTTGTTCTTTATTTACTGTTATGATTTTAGAGGGTTTTTTAAATACTGGTAATCAGAATTTGTTCAGATTTTGAATATAAGAGTTCTTTCTCCCTCCCTGGACATTGTTCCACATATATATATAAATCCCATTTTCCTAGTTTCCAACAGACCTCACAACTCTGAGGATGCCAGCCATAGATGCAGGCAAAACATCAGGAGAGAATGCTTCTCAAACATGGCCATACAGCCTGGAAAACATACACCAACCCAGTGATTCTAGCCATGAAAGCTTTCAACAATATGTCTTTGGTTTCCTGAGAGAAGATCCATTCCCAGGCCACGCCCGCCCCCAAACCTTGCAGCGAGCCCTTAAAGGCACAGGACCCCTCCCTCCCTCCATGCTTCTCCAAAGTATTGTGTGTTTTCTGGGCTGTATGGCCATGTTCCAGAAGCATTCTCTCCTGACATTTCTCCCACATCTATGACAATCATTCTCAGAGGTCGTGAGGTCTGTTGGAAACTAGGCAAGTGAGGTTTATATATCTGTGGAATGTCCAGGATAGGAGAAAGAACTCTCATCTGGTGAAGGCAAGAGATGATCCATTCCCAGGCCATGCCCCCAAACCTTGTAGTGGCCCTTAAATGTGCAGGACCCCCTCCCTCCCTGTTTCTTAAGGCAGCCCCCCAACAGGCCTCTCAAAGGAAGCCACTTTGATGGGGAAACACACTTAGCAGCTGCCAATGAAAAGGAGGACTGGCTTGAAGGCTGACCACATGTCACAGCAGTTTCCATGCTCCACAACTGCTTTCTGACCTCCCTCAGTAATTGATTAAAGCAGTGGTTCTCAACCTGTGCGTCCCCAGGTGTTTCTAGGCGTGGGCAATCCATGCTTCTAAATGGTTCTAAAGTACTTACAAAACTAAAGTTCTGGTGGTGAAAACTAGGGGGTGCTGGTGCTTTGCTTCCACAGTGTTGCTAAAGTTCTGGTAGTGAAAATTTCAGAACTCTAAAACTTTCAAAATTTCGTTATAAATGGTTCTGTCATAAAAATTGCCGATAATGAAATAACAATGAATTTTTAAAAGTTTATAAATGGTTGTCATAAAAATTGCAGATAATGAAATTTTTAAAGTTTTGTTAGTGTTCTGAAATTTTCACCACCAGAACTTTAGCAAAACTGTAGAAGCAAAGCACCAGCGCCCCTTAGTTTTCACCACCAAAACTTTAGTTTTGTAAGTATTTTAGAACCAAATAGAACCATGGATTGCCTTGGCCTACAACTCTCAGAAATCCTAGCCAGTTTAACAGCTGTTAGGATTTCTGGGAGGTGAAGGCCAAAACATTTGCTTGCCAGGTTGAGAACCACTGGATTAAAGGCTCTCTCATGTCTACCTCCCCGCTTTGTGTGCTTTCTTTGGCGGGGCCTCCATTCAAGAGGCAAGCAAGAAGAAGAGTCAGCGGCGCCGGAAAGGAGGAAAGGGCTGTGTCAAGCTCTGCCTGCTTGCCTATCTTTATTGCAAACCATAGGGAGAGGAAGGGCCCCCTCCCAATTCCCCTCACTACTGCTGCTGCTGCTGCTGCTGCTGCTGCTGCTGCTGCTGCTGCTGCTGTTGTTGTTGTTGTTGCTTCTCCTCCGGAGGTTCGTACTGCGCCAGCTGTGAAGAGAGAAGCCCCATTAGTCCTTGGGCTTCTGGCAGGGAATTGCAGCCCACAGCCTTGTGGGCGAGAGACCTTCCTTCTCCAGAAGTAATGAGCCCTCCCCTCCCACCCTGACCTTAATAGTAGTAACAACAAGAACAATAATAAAAACTGGACATCAATAAACTACACATAGTGAAACAAAATTCTATTAATAATATAATATAAATCTAAACAAAACATCCAAACTATTTATTTATGACATTTATATGCCGTCCTCACACCGAAAGGGACTCAGAGCAGCTTACAAGATATATATACACATACAATATATTATCATAGTACAATATCAATATTATATATTACTATATTGTATATGCCATTATATTGTAATATAAGAGATTTGTAAAAGAGATTTAAAGATGGGCTCAAAGCCAACCTTAAAAACTCTGGCATAGACACCAAGAACTGGGAAGCCCTGACCCTTGATGCTCCAGCTAGAGGTCAGCTGTGACCAGCAGTGCTGTAGAATTTGAAGAGGCACGAATGGAGGAAAGAGAAATGTGCCAAGAGGAAGGCGCGTCAAGCCAACCCTGACCGGGACCGCCTTCCACCTGGAAACCAACGCCCTTATTGCGGGAGAACATGCAGGTCAAGAATAGGACTCCACAGTCACCTATGGACCCACTAGCAGTACACTGATCTTGGAAGACAATCCTACTTGGACAATGAGGGATCGCCTAAGTGTGATATTATTCGTAATATTACATGTAATTTAAAATTTATAATTATAATATCGTATTATTATTATTATTAGTGGTATTATATTGTATTACATTATCTTATTTCATATCAGAAGCATTGCATAAATTAGTATAAAATGATAAAAATAGGAGCGCAGGTGGCTAAATATCTTTTGACCAAAAACAGGCAACAGCAATGGCATTGTCTGTAGCCTCCATCAATTCTTCCTCTATACATGAGGCAGGACATAGTGGACAAGCATACAGATGCGGAGCTGTCTGTCCTGCTCCACAGTCACACAAGGTGTGGGATTCTTTTAGGTAGTGCCATTCTGCAAGGTTGTCTTTTGAGGGGCACAGGGAAAGAGCCTCCTCGAAGATTGAGTAAATACAGTAGGGCATCCCCTGGACAACATTTCTTGTAAACGGCTGATCTTTCCAAACCCAAAAGCACTGCTTTTAAACAATATAATATTATAAATATTATATGTATATACAATATATTATATTACTAGGCATCCCCTGCCACGCGTTGCTGTAGCCCAGTCTGTGTATATGTGTTTTGTGTGTATATATATGCATATATGTGTGTATATATTTGTATGTGTGTGTTTGTGTATATATGTGGTTTTGCGCATGTGCTGTAATGTATTTTTTGTTTTTGGGCTTTTTAAGTCTCATCCGCTGTGTTTCTCAGTGTTTTTATGAGTGACGGTCACTTGCTGGCCTGATAGGTGTGTTATGTCCAAATTTGGTGTCAATTTGTCCATGGTTTTTGAGTTATGTTAATCCCACAAACGAACATTACATTTTTATTTATAAAGACTAGCCATCCCCTGCCATGCGTTGCTGTGGCCCAGTCTACGTATATGTGTGTGTGTATATATATATTTGTGCATATGTGTTTGCATATATGTGTGTGTGTGTCTGTGGGGTTTTGCACATGTGTTGTAATGGTGTCGTTTTTTTACTTTTTAGGTCTCTTTTACTGTGTTTTTCAGTGTTTTATGAGTGAAGGTCACTCGTTGGCCTGATAGGTGTGTTGTGTCCAAATCTGGTGTCAATTCGTCCAGTGGTTTTTGAGTTATGTTAATCCCACAAACAAACATTACATTTTTATTTATATAGACTAGCTGTCCCCTGCCACATGTTGCTGTGGACCACTCTGTGTATGTGTGTGTATATGCGTATATGTATGTGTATATATTTATGTATATGTGTTGATATATATATATATATATACACACACACACACACATATATATGTGTGTGTGGTTTTGCGCATGCATTGTAATGGGTTTTTTTTTGGCTTTTAAGTCTCTTCTGCTGTGTTTTTTAGTGTTTTTATGAGTGACTAGCTTACCCGCCACGCGTTGCTGTGGCCAACCTTCCCCTTCCTTCCTTCCTTCCTTTTCCCTCCTTCCTCACTCCTCTTTCTTCCTTCCTTCTCTTTCCTTCTCTCCTTCTTTCTCTCCTTCCTCTCTTCCTTTCCTTCTTCCCCCTTTTTCTTTCTCTTCCTTGTCTCTTTTCTTCCTTTCTCTCTTTCCTCCTTTCTTTCCTCCCTCTTTCTCTCTTTCCTTCCTTCTTCTCTTTCTTCCTTCTTCCTTCTTCCTTTTTCTTTCTCTTCTCTCTTTTCTTCCTTCTCTCTTTCCTCTTTCCTTCCTCCCTCTTTCTTACATCTTCTCCCTTCCTTCCTCCTCTCTTTCCTTCCTTCTTTCCCTTTTCTTTCCTTCTCTCCTTCCTTCCCTTTCTCTCTTTCCCCCCTCTTTCTCTCCTGTCAGGGGATTTGAATGCAATTTCCTGCTTCTTGGCAGAATGGGGTTGGACTGGATGGCCCATGAGGTCTCTTCCAACTCTTGTCTATGGTTCTATGATTCTTCCTTGACAGATTAGAAGGGAGGTAACGTGAGTAGGGAGGAGGGGAGGGGGGATGGGTTTAGAAGGGGCGTGGCTTGGGGGCTAAGGTGAGGAGGGGAGGGGGGATGGGTTTAGAAGGGGGCGTGACTTGGAGGTAACGTGAGGAGGGTAAGAGGGAGGAGGGGAGGGGGGATGGGGGCGCGCGCGCGCGTGTGTGCCGCGCGGGGGGGAGAGGGGGCGCACACGCGCGCGTGTGTGCCGCGCCAGGGGAGTGAGGGGGCGCGCGGGCGCGCGTGCGTGCGTGTGCCGCACCGGAGGGGGGAGAGGGGGGGCGCGCGCACGCGCGTGTGAGGGGGCACGCACGCGCATGTGTGCGTGTGTGCCGTGCCAGGGGGGTGAGGGGGCGCGTGCGCGCGTGTGTGTGCCGCGCCGGAGGGGGGAGAGGGGGCGCGCGCGCGCGCGTGTGTGCCGCGGCGGCGGGGGGTTGGGGGTGCGCGCGTGTGTGTGCATGTGTGTGTGTGCCGCGCCAGGGGGGAGAGGGGGCGCGTACGCGCGCGTGTGTGCCGCGCCGGGGGGGGGTTGGGGGTGCGCGCGCGTGTGTGCCGCGCCGGGTGGGAGAGGGGGCACGCGTGTGTGTGTGTGTGCCGCGCCGGGGGGGAGGGGCCGTGCGCGCGCGCGTGTGTGTGCCGCGCCGGGGGGGGAGGGTGAGGGGCCATGTGTGTCCGCGCCAGGGAGTTTGCGCCAGTGCGCATGCTCAGTTGCTTTGTCGTTTATTGTGGTTGTTGTTGTGTGTTTTTGATTTCTGAGTGGATTAGTTTGTACCTTGTTGGTTGCCCTTGGGGCATGGGAAGTTTGGTGGCGTTTCGTTGGGGGGTTTTTGAGTTTTGTTTCCTCATACGACGCCAGGAGGAAATTTATATATATAGATATATAAATATAGTATATACAATATATTATATTACATTCTATTATAAGCATAGCACAGGAGACAAGGTGGGACTGTGTACAACCTTGGCCTTTAGCTTCCGGTTCTCCTCCAGGACGGCCTCGTACTTCTCCTTCAGCTCCGCCACTTCCAGCCGAAGGGCCTCCACCTCCGGGTTCTCGGGGGCCGTGGCGCCCAAGTGGTGCTTCAGGAAGCTGCGCCCGGAAGTCAAGGAAGGGAAGAAGCAAGGGCTACGAGGGGGGAAAGGGAAGAGGAACAGGAAGGGTCCCCCCCCTTCTTTTGTCCCTCCCTCGGCCCTCAAAGGCTTGAAGGATACTCCAGGGCGCAGTTGGGCTTCTCGGGCTCCTCGTACAGGGCCACCAGCACTGAAAGGGAGGCGGAGAGGGTCGGCCTCAGGGAAAGAGAGAGGCCCAGGGACCTCCCTTCCCCTTCCCTTCCCTTCCCCCCCTCCCCTGGGCATACTACCTTTCGTGAGGCTGTCCATCACGCCCGACTTCTCCAGGTAGCGCCGGAACTGCTCCCGCTTCGAGTCGGCGGCCTGCAGGGAGAGAGAAGGGTTGGAGGAGAAGGAGGGAGACAGGAGCCCCTGTTTACCCCCCTCTTCTTCTTCTTCTTCTTCTTCTTCTCCTCCTCCTCCTCCTCGCGCCGCTTGCCTACCTTGTAGTTCGCCATCACGGCTACTCCGGAAGCGGGACTGCGCTTCCGCCCAGGGCCTCTTGTAGGCGTCACGGCGTCCCCCCTGTCGCCATGGAGACGCCGAAGAATGAGCCCGCCCACCGCCCGGCCTCCAGGCCTCGCCCCCTCCTACAGCCATAGATTTCTGGAAGGGTTGAGAGCGGCCTTCCGGCCCGACGTTCTTCCGCCCCCCCTTCCTCTGTGTCTCAAGCGAAGCCCCGCCCCCCTCTGAAAAGAAGAGGGGCAGTTTGCCAAGTTTTCTCAGGAAGGACGGGGGCTTCCGAATTCTGCAATGGCAATGTTTTTTGGACCAAGCATGGGCAAACCTGGACCCTCCAGGTGTTTTGAACTTCAACTCCCACCATTCCTAACAGCCTCAGTCCAATGGCAATGTTTTTAAGACCAGTCCTGGGCAAACTTGGGCCCTCCAATTGTTTTGGACTTCAACTCCCACCATTCCTAACAAACTCAGGCCAATGGCAATGTTTTTTAGACCAGGCCTGGATAAACTTGGGTCCTCCAGGTGTTTTGGACTTCAGCTTCCACCATTCCTGACAGCCTCAGTCCAGTGGCAATGTATTTTGAACCAAGCATGGTCAACCTTGGGCCCTCCAAGTGTTGGACTTCAACTCCCACCATTCCTAACAGCCTCAGGCCAATGGCAATATTTTTTAGACCAGGTATGGGCAAACTGGGCCCTCCAAGTGTTTTGAACTTCAACTCCCACTATTCCTAATAGCCTCAGGGCAATGTCAATATTTTTTAGACCAGGTATGGGCAAACTTGGGCTCTCCAAGTGTTTTGGACTTCAACTCCCACTATTCCGAACAGCCTTAGGCCAATTGCAATGTTTTTTAGGCCAGGCATGGGCAAACTTGGGCCCCCCAGGTGTTTTGGACTTCAGCTTCCACCATTCCTACCAGCCTCAGGGTAATGGCAATGTTTTTTTAGAAGGGGGATAAAATAGATTTGAGTTGGTTAACTTTACAGTGAAATTGGGAGAACATTTGCTTGTGTAGAAAGTAGAGGGGAAAGATGAGAGAAAAAGGAAAAAACAAACAAAAAGAAAAATGTTAGTTGACTTCCTTCTTACTTCCAATGATCATTAAAAATCATTTGGAATTGTATTATACTTGTTCTGCTTCCCCTCTGTCTACTTCTTCTCTTAGGATTGAATATCTTCAGCAGATGAGTTCAATCTTCATTTGTTTTAGGTAGTCTTTTACTAGGTCCCAGTTAGTATGTTTTTTAGGTAGTCCTTGATTGGGTGAAATTCGCCAGTAGGTGAGTCTGTCCATGTTCATAATCACTAAAACTTTAACCAGTCTTCTTTTTTCGGTATTTCTTTTGAGCTCCAGCGTATACTATTCTGGCTGCTGTGACCAAAAATTAATGGCAATGTTTTTTAGACCAGGCATGGAAATCTTGGGCCCCCCAGGTTTTTTTAACTTCAACTCCCACAATTCCTAACGGCCTCAGTCCAATGGCAATGTTCTTTAGATCAATCATGGGCGACCTTGGGCCCTCCAAGTGTTGGACTTCCAACTCCCACCATTCCTAACAGCCTCAGAGCAATGGCAATGTTTTTTAGACCAGGCATGGAAAACTTGAGCCCTCCAGGTGTTTTGAACTTCAACTCCCGCCATTCCTAACAGTTTCAGGGCAATGGCAATGTTTTTTAGACCGGGCATGACAAGCATGAGCCCTCCAAGTGTTTTGGACTTTAATAATTCCTAACAGCCTCATGCCAATGGCAATGTTTTTTGGGCCAGGCCCGGACAAACTTCGGCCCTCCAGGTGTTTTGGACTTCAACTCCCACCATCCCTAACGGCCTCAGGGCAATGGCAATGTTTTTTAGATCATGGAGAAAAGGAAAGGGCCTAAGGCTATTAGGAATGGTGGGAGTTGAAGTCCAAAATACCTGAAGGGCTCAAGTTCGCCCAGGTCTTGTGTAGGAGGTGTGTTGTGTGAACATAATAGAAAACCTCTATGTGAAATAAGCAACACCACTGAAGCCTGAAAGTTTAAAAATGATTGCATCTTTATCTAATATCCCACCAAATATTCCAAAGCTCTCAAGCGCCATCTACACTGCCATATAATGCAGCTTAACCACAATTGACTGCATTATATTGCAGTGTAGACCAGGCATGGGCATCACTTTGGCCCTCCAGGTGTTTTGGACTTCAACTCCCAGAAATTCGAGCCAGCTTACCAGCTGTTAAGAATTGTGGGCGTTGGAAGTGCAAAACACCTGGAGGGAGGGCCAAACTTTGGCCATGCCTGGTGAAGACTCTCCTTTTTTCATGTATGGAGCGATTTGCGAAACTGCAAGTCATTTCTGGTGTGAGAAAATTGGCCGCCTGCAAGGATGTTGCCCAAGGAATGCCCAGATGTTTTTTTGATGTTTTACCATCCTTGTGGGAGGCTTCTCTCATGTCCCTGCATGGGGAGCTGGATTTGAACCACCGACCTATTGGGTCAGCAGTCCTGCCGGCAGAAGGATTTAACCCATTGCACCACCAGGGGCTCCAAAGTCTTGTGAAACTACTGCATTATATGACCTGGCTTTCAGCCCCCCCCCCCCCCGCGCTCAAGGACAGAGGACGACAGTGATGGAAAAGCTCTGTTTCTTTAATACCAAGTACAAAAGGCACACGGTCCCGGCATAAGAAGGCAGCATAAAGGGCCACGCGGTYCCCAAATAGACAGAACGTGGCATACAAATATACTTCTGAATATATTTTTGATCCTTTAAGGCTCTGTGGCATCTGTTTCGTCTCTCTACTGGTTTGCTGGAGAGAGGAACACATTGAAGAACACGGCAAACACCACAAAGAGCACATAGGCACCAATGCAGGCCCAGAAACGGGGGTCTTTTGCAAAATTCTTGTCGAAGGAGCTGAATATGACATATCCCATGGACATCCCGGCCAGTCCACCAGCAATGTGGGCCACAAAGGAAACCTTTGGAGAGAAGAAACACACAACACAAATATGATCCTGACACATGCACTTAATGGTGCCATTCGTTTGGGCTCAAGGAGGAGCCAGAGGCAGTCACAAGAATAAGGAAGAGAAGAAGAGGGCAGGCAGGAGCCGAGCACCAGCCCGAAAGAGCCTCTAGGGAGGCAGAGTCAAAGGAGGGGGGCTCCATGCTGACAGAGCAGAGAGGGGCCAGAGAGACAGGCCCAGAGGAGGAGTTTGGCAGGAGGATGAGGGGGGCTATTGGGCCATGCATATGTGGTGCCCCCAACACACGCTTCTGTCCCTGTCCCTTCACTCTCAATGAGAGAGCCAGAAGCCAAACCCTCGGAAGGTTGTTCCTCCTCCCTCTCTTATTTGGAGGAGCACTGCCAGGAACCCAAAAGGCCAGTTCATACAACCCAAAGGCCTTCAGGAGAACACAGCAGCCTCATTGGCACAGGGGATCCTTGTGCCTTCCTTCCCTCAGTGAGGGGCTCACGTGGGTGACAGACGATGGGGGGCAGCTAGGTACATGGAATTGCTCTTCTGGGACAGAACTGGGCATGCTCCCTTCCCCTCGGGGCCACCCGGAAGCCTGGGGATCATCTTCCCGCCTCAGCCTTGCCTCCCAAGTATTCCTCGGGYCCCCTTCCATCCACCCTCCTTTTTTCTCCCTTCCCTCCATCACCTGGTGCTCCTAAYAGACTCAATGGCTGGCAGAGGAGGGGACACCGTCCAGCCTGAGGGGAGCCTCATCTCATCGAAGAASAGAAAGGRAGAAGAGAGAGGAGGCAGATGGTRGCTACTGCCTGGGATGGAGARACGRCAGAAGGAAGAGAGTCCAAACCCATCTGAGCAAAGAGGAGGAGAGGCAGCYGCCAGAAGCCTGGAGGGAAGGAGACAAGGGCACCCGCTTTATTCAGCAGAATGGCAGAAGAATGGCYCGCAGTCTGGTCCGGTCCCWTAAGACATGCTTTTACCTTCAACCCATCCGCATCTGAGAGAAACCTTCTGTACAGAGCAAACCCCACGTCTGTTCCCACTAAGAAACCAAGACAATAGGTTAGAAGCCAAATCCAAAGCACCCCAACCCCCYGCGTTTCTGGACCTCCCYCCTGCACAATGGCTCATCCCATATGCTTTGATTTGGGTGCTAAGCAGCAGTGCTTCTGGTCTGTCACTGGGGAGGAGGCTGTCCTGGGCCAAGGCGGCAAAAGCCAGAGAGGCCAGATGCCCTTTGGCTGGCACATGTGGTCTCCATCAAAACTCAGACCCTTTCAGATCCCATATCTTGAACCAGAAGAATTAGACTGTTTATAGAAAGCTCCCTCCACCTCCAATGCACCAATTGGGAATTATTGGATCACTTTAACTTGCCAGTGTGCCTCCATCCTAGGTTCTAACCAGGTGAGATGCCTTTATAAAATGAGATACTGCTGATGGAGAATATGGCAGGGTGGGAAGGAGGGCTAACTCTTACTCTTCCCTACCCAATACCCTTTTCCAAGGCCGGAATGTGAGAACCCAGAGGCTCCCAGCGGCCTCCCAGTCTGACTGAAATGAGGCAAGAGAAGCAGAGAGGGCCCCCAACTCAAGGGACAGCCAGGAAGGGTCAACCGAGAATACTACCTATGGCGAAGATGAAGAGCAGCCTGGCAACGCCAAACAGTGGGATCATTTCTCTGAAGTTCTGTAAAGAAGAGAAATAAGGACATGTATCATTATGATATGTGTCATTATTACAGTTATTCTAACATCATTCCATGCCAAGCAATATAATTCCCTTGTGTGAGCCCTGGACCTGCAGGTGCTTTGCTCTCCCTTCATTTCTTTTAAAACACTCCTACCAGATACATCCTAACTCTGTTCATGTCCAGCTTTTATTTTTTAAACTTTAAACTATTACATTTGGCCCGGCCATAGGTTTTTAAATCCTTGCATGTTATTGTTTATATGTGAGTTATATTAATTGTATTGTTTGGGGGTTTTTTGCTTATTGTTTTTTGTTTTATTGATGTGTTATCGGGCTTGGCCTCATGTAAGCCGCTCCGAGTCCCCTTGGGGAGATGGTGGCAGGGTATAAATAAAGTATTATTATTATTGCTGGGCACAATGCTCTTCTGCATTACTCCCCCCACCTGCATTCCCATCAGTGGCCAGAGGGGTGTCTACACAGCATCTGGAGAAGTTTCTGCCCCCACAGAGATAGCTGCCTTCCCCAGAAGGATGACCTCTTGTGTCCTTGGTGCCAATCTCTGGGTTCAGATTGGTCGCCTGTGGAATGCACCATGCCCACCCACCTCTCTGCCCATTACTGACCACAGTGGCTGCTTTTGCCAGCAGAAAGGACAGGTCAGCACTTTTGCCAATGCCAGATCCCCCAGATTCTGGATTCTGCTGCTGAAGTGGGCTATGATCCATGGGCCCAAAGGGATTCTGTCCCCATACAGCATTGTCTCCAAACAGTTTAGCTGCATCCTGTCACAGTCTGTGAGATTTCGCTAACATCTGTGTAGAATGAAGTTTCTCCCCTGCCCACTTGCCCATCCTTCCTTACCACCAGCACATTCATGAAGTATCCTCCAATCAGAGCATAGACTCCCCCTGAAGCTCCTACGAGGCCCAGGAGTGGGTCACAGACTGAACTGGCCAAGGACCCTGGGAAGGAAGGAAGGATAGAGAGAGAATGAGGATGGGCCCACATTTCCTGGAGGGGGGCTGGTTCAGATCCGGTACCTGCCTGCTTGCCCCAAGGGTGCTTCAAGAGGACAGCCAGACACTGCAGCTCCTTCCTAGAATCCCACAGGGGAAACATAGCTCTAGCTCCCTCCCTCGTCCTACAAGCGCCTTCCTCTCCTGCTCACCTCCCAACACTCCTGCAATGTAGACCAGCCCGACCCGATGTCCCTTGTGAACCAGCTCCAGCGGGATCCCCAGGAGAAGCTGCAGCACCAGGTTCCCCAAGATGTGCTCAATGCTGCAAACAGAAGACAGCAAGACTCTTCCAGAGCCCAACACATTCAGCACACAGCTCCTCAGGCTTCCATTCTGCCGCTGTGGTTCAGTTCAGGCAAGAAAACAGCTGAGCAAAAGCCTCCTGAGAAGTGACCCAACGGGGAAGGGGGTCCCTCTGCCAGCCTCATGTGGCCCAGGGGTGCCTTCTACAGGTGGACCTTTTTGCCCAAACTATTGCCTATAAAACTGCAACAGAGACAAACCCATTGGTTGCAGTCTTGATTCTGATGCAGACAATCAGAACGGGAGGAACAAGGAAGAGGTTTTCGGTGTGTGAGAACTGCAGTCTGATGATTCTATAACAGGAATGATGAGAGAATGGTCTGCCTACACAAACTGACTGATCAGGTTGTATGACCTGGTGGAGAAGGATGAACTGACTTATCTAATCAAAGAAAAGACACTGCAAAACATTAAAAAATGGAGACCAGTGGTTTAATATAAGAAAAAAACTGAGAACAAAAGAAATGTTAGGCCTCAATAACTGAATACATTCAAAATAAAGCGGACATAGGAGAGATGACCAGGCCAATTAGATTTGATGCAGATGACTAGGACAGTTTTAAATGGTGTATTTTAACATTTTGATAAATGTTTTTTAATTTGTATGTATTGTATGTGAATTTGTGTCTCGGCATTAAATGTTTGCCGTGTATATGCTGTGCTCTGCCCTGAGTCCCCTTCAGAGTGAGAAGGCGGAATATAAATGTTTTACATAAATAAATAAACAAGAAGCTTAAATATGATAGATGTCAAACACCTGTGTTCACTTAATGGCGTAGAGGAGAAAGATGCTATATATATATATATATATATACACACACACACACACACACACTTATCTAGTGGGAAGTGTAAATTAGTCTGTATTTGCACTTGTCCTTAGTTGAACAGGCAAGATGCCAGAATATGCGAGAGTTGCAAGAGTCCGAGGAGGGAGCCCTCCCTCAACAGCGGGTGATCAGTTCTGAGTAAAGGAATGAAACCCATTCTTCTGGGAGAAACTTAAAGAAAAACATCAGGATGAAGAAAACTTCTGTAAAAGTGAAGTTGGGGGAGGGGGAGGGAACAGTTTCATCTTGTTTCCTGCATATGTCATCAGTTGGGGATCCCTCCACCCAGCACCAACCACTGCTCTGGGCCAGGGTGAAGAGAGAGAGGCTCAGGAGACAGTTCCACCTTGTCTCCTGTGCTATGTTTATAATACAATATATTGTATATACATGTAATATTTATAATATTATAATGTAATACAATATAATACTCATACAAATAATATATTATAATTATAGATTTTATATTACATGTAAATTACTATTATTAAAATATAATGATATATAGTACTGTACAATATAGTAATATATAATACCGATATTGTACTATGCTAATAGTATAATACATTGTATGTGTGTATATCTTGCATGCCACTCTGAGTCCCCTTCATGGTGAGAAGGGCGGCATATAAATGTGCTCTGCCATGGCTGACTTCTCCGGTTGAACTAGTCTGCATTGCCTTTCATGTTCCTTGATTTGTGTCTGGGCAATGCTGCTGCGTTTGGTGGTCCCTATGCAGCCTTGTCCACAGCTGCATGGTATACGATAGATTCCTGCAGAGGTGAGCGGATCCCTCTGTCCTTTGCTGAGTGTAGCATTTATTAAATTTACTTAGCGTGTCTGTACATTGTAGGTTGTGTTTCTTCATCAGCTTCCCTATGCAGTCAGTGGTTCCCTTGATGAATGGTAAGAACACTTTTCCTCCAGTTGGATCTTTGTCTTTACCGAGAACCTTTTTTTCCTGATGTTTTGCCTGCATCTGTGGCTGGAAGATCTTCAGAGGAGATGGAGGATCAGATGGAGGATCTTCAGTAGATCAGATGGGGGAACTTCAGAGGATCATATGGGGGATCTTCAAATGATCAGAGGAGAATCGCATGGAGAATCGCATGGAGGATCTTCAGAGGATCACATGGGGATATTCAGAGGATCAGGTGGAGGAGCTTTAGAGGATCAGATGGGGATCTTCAGAGGATCAGGTGGAGGAGCTTTAGAGGATCAGATGGGGATCTTCAGAGGATCAGATGGAGGATCTTCAGAGAATCGCATGGAGGATCTTTAGAGGATCACATGGATGATCAGAGGAACAGATGGGAGATCTTCARAGGATCACATGGAGGATCTTCAGAGGGTCAGAGGGAGGATCTTCAGAGGATCAGATRGGGGATCTTCAGAGGATCAGATGGAGGATCTTCAGAGGGTCTGAGGCAGGAACTTCAGAGGATCAGGTGGAGGAGCTTTAGAGGATCAGATGGAGGATCTTCAGAGAATTGCATGGAGGATCTTCAGAGGATGACATGGAGGATCTTCAGAGGATCACATGGATGATCAGAGGAACAGATGGGGATCTTCAGAGGATCAGATGGAGGATCTTCAGAGGATCAGATGGAGGATCTTCAGAGGGTCAGAGGGAGGATCTTCAGAGGATGACATGGAGGGTCTTCAGAGGATCACATGGATGATCAGAGGAACAGATGGAGGATCTTCAGAGGATCAGATGGAGGATCTTCAGAGGATCAGATGGAGGAACTTCAGAGGATCACATGGGGATCTTCAGAGGATCAGATGGAGGATCTTCAGATAATCGCATGGAAGATCCTCCATCTGATCCTCTGAAGATGCCTGCCAGTCACAGATGCAGGTGAAACGTCAGGAGAAAATGCTGCTACAACACATTGGCCATATTAGCCCGGAAACCACACAACACCCTGATGTCAGCCAGAGACAAAGCAGGGCCGGGGGGAGGCTACCTTTCCCTCCTCCCTCGGCCTTCCGCTCCCTTTGCCTTCCCTTTCCTTCTTTCCCTTGCCTTCCTTTCCTTCTCCCTCCCTCCGCCTTGCCCGTCTTTTCCTACCCGGCGTGGAGCATCATGTAGGAGAGGAAGCGCCAGGCCTGGCTCCTCCGGTCCGGGCGGTAGGTGAGGGGGCTTTCCCAGATGCCGCTCTCCAGCGTCACCCATTGGGCCTGGGGCTCCTGCACCGCGTAGTACGCGAAGACGCCCAGCTGCAGAGGGAGAGAGAGAGAGAGCAAGAGAGAGGGAGAGCGCGGCTCAGCCGGGGCTCCGTGGAGGGGCAGGAAGGGGGTTTGCGGTGGGACTCCGCCCGCTCCCTTCGCACCTCGGCGGCGCTGACGAGGAGGATGAAGAGCGGAGGCGGGAGGCACGAGGCCCGCTCAAGGTACGAGGCTCGCGCCCCCTCCGGCAGCACCCACCGCGACACTGTCTCGTGCAGACGCCCACAGGCATCCCGCCGCCCGCTCTCCGCCTCCGCCTCGCTCAGACCGGACAGCTCCATCTCTGGGAGGAGAAGGACGAAAGAGGCGCTGGGGACCACAACCCGGAAAACTCCCTCTGCCTTCCTCCCTCGCGAGCCTCTCTCCTTCCCGGCCTGAAGCGCCGCGTGGCGACCACAGGACTAAGCTTCCTCGCCCCTCGGAGGGAAGGGGAGGGGAAGGGAGGGAAGCCCCGCCCGCTCCCCGCCTCAGCCCCGCCCCCTCACCTTGCCCCTCCCTCCCAGGCGTGGGCAGACTTGGCCCCGCCCTCCAGGTGTTTTGGACTTCAGGAAAGGCTTTCACTTTGTTTTGTTTCTTTCGTGTCAGGAGCGGCTTGAGAAACTGCAAGTCGCTTCTGGTGTGAGAGAATTGACCATCTACAAGGACGTTGCCCAGGGGATGCCCGGATGTTTTAATGTTTTACCAGAGCTGTATAAAGGTAAAGGTAAAGGTTTCCCCCTAACATTAATTAAGTCCTGTATTTTGGACTTCAGTAAAGGTTTTTGCTTTGTTTCATTTTTTTTTTCGTGACAGGAGCGACTTGAGAAACTGCAAGTCGCTTCTGGTGTGAGAGAATTGGCTGTCTGCAAGGACATTGCCCAGGGGACGCCCAGATGTTTTGATGTATAAATCAAAACATGTATAAATATGTGAGAGGAAGCCACAGGGAGGAGGGAGCAAGCTTGTTTTCTGCTTCCCTGGAGACAATGGCTTCAAACTACAAGAGAGGAGATTCCATCTGAACATGAGGAAGAATTTCCTGACTGTGAGAGCCGTTCAGCAGTGGAACTCTCTGCCCCGGAGTGTGGTGGAGGCTCCTTCTTTGGAAGCTTTAAACAGAGGCTGAATGGCCATCTGTCAGGGGTGATTGAATGCAATATTCCTGCTTCTTGGCAGGGGGTTGGACTGGAAGGCCCATGAGGTCTCTTCCAACTCTTTGATTCTATGATTTTATGATGTTTTACCAGAGCTGTAAAAAAGGTAAAGGTTTTCCCCTGACATTAGGTCCAGTAGTGTCTGACTCTGGGGGCCGAAGAGTCAGCGTTGTCCGTGGACACCTCCAAGGCCAGCATGACTGCATTGAGTGCCGTTACCTTCTCACCGGAGCAGTATCTATTGATCTCATTTGCATGTTTTCGAACTCCTAGGTCGGCAGAAGCTGGGATTAACAGCAGGAGCTCACACTGCTTCCTGGATTCAAACCTGCAACTTTTCTGTCAGCAAGTTCCGCAGCTCGGTGGTTTAACCCATTGCTCCATGGGGGGGGGGGGTGGTCCAGAGCTGTAGCCAGGAAAAAAAATTGGAGGGAGGGTTTTTTTTCTTTTGTTGTGTCAGGAGTGACTTGAGAAACTGCAAGTCGCTTCTAGTGTGAAAGAATTGCCATCTGTAAGAACATTTCCCAGGGGACGCCCGGATGTTTTGATGTTTTATCATCCTTGTGGGAGGCTTCTCTCATGTCCACTCATGAGGAGCAGGAGCTGATAGAGGGAGCTCATCCACGCTCTCCCTGGATTCGAACCTGCAACCTGTCAGTCTTCAGTCCTGCCAGTACAGGGGTTTAACCCACTGCGCCACCAGGGGCTCCGGAGGGAAGGCTGAAACCTTTTTTTAAACAAATAAAGAAGAATAGTTCCATAACACAAAATAATTTAAATAATATGGTTCATTTTATATTTTTATATAGACGTAATTAAATCCATTTTCTATTTTAGTTACAAAGTTTCGAAATAACTGGAAATGACTGCTAATTGGTTATTTATAGTTACAAAAGAATACAATGTCTGTTGGAAACACTTGAAAATTGTGTCAATACACTTTTCAGAAATCAGGCTCCATCATTAAACTTCAGTGGACACTCAGTCTTTCTTGCCCCATTGTGCTTCTTACGTATGTTTTCAAATGTTTAAGAGTTGAAAATGACCTATATAATGACACACACACACTTTAAATTGGCATATCTAAAAATCAAGAAAAATGACCCACACGTATTATTAACTTTTTAGAAACTACATACAATACTAGAAACTACATAGGGAGCCCCCGGTGGCACAGAGGGTTAAACCGGTGAGCTGCTAAACTTGTTGACCGAAAAGTTGCAGGTTTGAATCAGGGAAGCGGTGTGACCTTCCGCTGTCAGCCCCAGCTTCTGTCAACCTAGCAGTTCAAAAACATGCAAATGTGAGTAGATCAATAGGTACCACTCCAGCGAGAAGGGATTACAACCCCAAAATGGATGAGGCTTTGGCAAAAGACAAAAGCACAGCCAGGATATTCACTATAATGAATATTTATTTATTTGAAACATTTATATCCCATCCTTCTCAACGTCCGAAGACGGACTCAGGATGGCTTCCAACAGGCAACCATTCAGCGCCGAAACAATATAAAACATATCATAAAATACAACCATATACATTAAAAGTTATAAATATAAATTAAAAACAGTCCACCAGGTTAAAATCGTCATCCAGATCAGTCCATTGTGGTCAAATAAAGATCTTCAGCAGTAAATTGGTCTATTCTGCAAACACTTGATCACATAGCCAGGATTTAAGTTTCTTTCAGAAGGTCAGGAGGGAGTGGGGCAGATCTAAGCTTATTACAGAGGGAGTTCCACAGCTGAGGGGCCACCATGGAGAAGGCCCTGTCTCTCGTCCCCACCAAACACGACTGTGATTACATTGTGCAGGGCCTCCCTGGATGATCTTAAGGTCCTTGGTTGTTCGTAAAGGGAGATACGTTCGGACACATAAATTGGGCCGGAACCGTTTAGGGCTTTATAGGTTAAAACCAGCACTTTGTGTTGTGCTTAGAAGCTAATAGGCAGCCAATGGAGCTGGGGTAACAAGGAATTGTACGCTCCCTGTACCCCGCTCCTGTGAGCAACCTGACTGCCGAGCGTTGGACTAGCTGGAGCTTCTGAGCAGTATTCAGAGGCAACCCCACATAGAGTGCGTTGCAGTAGTCTATTCGGGATGTAACCACAGCATGGACCACCATGGCCAAGTCAGACCTCCCAAGATACGGGTGCAGCTGGCGCACAAGTTTTAATTGTGTGAATGCTCCTCTGGCCACTGCTGAGACCTGGAGTTCCAGGCTCAGCGATGAGACCAGAATCACTCCCAAGCTGTAAACCTGCTCCTTCAGGGGGAGTGTAACCCCATCAAGCACAGGCTGTAACCCTATACCCTGTTCGGCCTTGTGACTGACCAGGAGGACCTCTGTCTTGTCTGGATTAAGTTTCAATTTGTTTGCTCTCATCCAGTCCATTACAACAGCCAAGCACCGGTTCAGGACCTGAACAGCCTCCTTAGTAGCAGGTGGGAAGGAGTGACAGAGTTGGACATCATCTGCGAACAGGTGACACCGAACTCTGAAACTCCAGGTGATCTTCCCCAATGGCTTTATGTAGATGTTAAATAACATAGGGGACAGTACTGAGCCCTGTGTGACCCCACAGTACAATGGCTATGGGGCTGAGCAGGTGTCCCCCAACAACACCTTCTGGGAGCAACCCTGCAGGAAGGACTGGAGCCACTGCAAAACAAGGTGTCCTAGAAGGATACCGTGGTCTATGGTATTGAAGGCTGATGAGAGGTCCAGCGGAACAAACAGGCATAGATCATCGAAGGCTGATGAGAGGTCAGCTCCCAGCGTAGATCATCCACTAAGGCGACCAAGGCTGTCTTGGTACCATGTCGCGGCCTAAAGCCAGACTGTGTTGCAGTTAGATAATCCATCTCTTCCAAGAATCCCTGGAGTTGGGAGGCCACCACACTTTCCAGGACTTTGCCCAAAAAGGGGAGATTGGAAAATGGCCAATATCTGACTAATCGAGTGGGGTCCAATTATGTTTTTTTCAACAGCGGTTTTATTACAGCTTGTTTTAAGCTGACTGGAATAGTGCCTTCCCGAAGGGAGGCATTAACCATCACCTTCACCCACTCTGCCAAACCCCCTCTGGCTTCCTTTACCAGCCAGGATGGGGTTTAGGACGCATGTGGTAAATATAATGCAGATTTATATTTAATCTGAGTGTATGTATCTTACTCTATGGCTGAGAGTGTGTGACTGCCTTTCAGGGGGTTAGACTATGAGCCTGAATGAGTAGGACCTGCCAAGTTCTCTCAAACACTGTAGAAAATGGCACCCCCTGGAGCAGCAAAGCAAGAAAGGACCCAATATGTGGCCTATCATGAGGTGAAAATACAGTGAAATATTAACTATGAATATATAAATAACTATAAATCTCAACAATTACAACTCCCAAATGTCAAACTCTGTTTTCACCAAACTACACCATTTGGGCATATTGAGTACTTGTGCCAAGTTTGTTTCAGAACTATCACTGTTTGAGTCCACAGTGCTCTCTGGATGTAGGTGAACTACAACTCCAAACCTTAAGGTCAATGCCCACCAAACCCTTCCAGTATTTTCCGTTGGTTGTGGGCATTCTGTGTGACAAGTTTGGTTCAATTCTATTGTTGGAGTTCAGAATGCTCTTTGATGGTAGGTGAACTATCAATCCCAGCAACTACAACTCCCAAATGACAAAATCAATCCCCCTAGTATTCAAATTTGAGTGTATCGGGTATTTGTGCCAAATTTGGTCCAGTGAATGAAAATACATCCTAAATATCAGATATTTACATGACGATTCATAACAGTAGCAAAATTACAGTTATGAAGTAGCAACAAAAATAATTTTATGATTGGGGGTCACCACAACATGAGGAACTGTATTAAGGTGTTGCGGCATGAGGAAGGTTGAGAACCTCTGGTGTAATGAATCATGGATTGTCATCAGTATTCTTATTTTTCTGTCCAGATCATCCAGCTCTGCTTGCGTCCAGGGTATCTGATGATGGGGATGGCCCAGGTGTTGATAAACTTGATTGTATTTCTGCCATTTAAATTGATCTTCAAAATTTTTCTCATGCTTTGGACATATTCTTTGCTGACCACATCTTTCATATGTCCATGCTTGATATTATTATTATTATTATTATTATTATTATTATTATTATTATTTTGACACAAAAACACAGTATGTCACAGCAAACAAGATATATATGCTGGATTTCATATCACAAAATCACAAGTTGAACACTTCTCTTTTAAAAAAATATTTTATTAGTTTTTCAGGTACAATAAAAAGTGAGGGAACATAATCATGGTAAAGAAACGTAG